ATGACAGGAAAAAGGCAAAAAGTTCAACAGGGGTTTTCATTTATTTTTGGAGGAATTATGCAGCACCTTTAAGAATCTTCACATTTATGCCATGACCTACTTTGCTCTCTTACTGGTATTTCTTTGCATAACTTCTTCCACTAGCAGGAATTAGAACGAACTTTTTAAATAAGTATTTAGTTTTAAAGCCAAGCTTTGCACAAGCTGAAGAATGGGAGGTTTCAGTCTCTTATCAAACCCCAGCTCCAAAGTAATGTTGATCAGCAACAACAAAACATAATTAAATAAATAAACCATTCACCATCTGTCATCTAGCTCCCTGAGAATGAGGATCAAATCCCTCAAGTATTTCAAGGAACCCCACCTGAAAGAGGATTTACATAAATTGAATCCATCCATAGGTCTTTCATTCCATGTTCTCTCCATGCTTGCAGCAAAGATCTCATGCCACTTTGCTCCTTCCCAAATGTTGTGTACCTCAATGCACATACTCCCTTAGCATGTATGCAAAGTTGTTTCTTGCTAGTCCCAGCACTGATCTGAAGATGACCACTCTAGTGAGTAGCTGACATTTCCAACACCGTTGGACAGAATGTGCCAGGTTGAATAGGGCCCTCTGCACCATTTCTAAATAGCTTATTTTGAAATAGTGCATCTACCCAACAAACAGCCATCAAGATAGCACTGAGCTATTTTGAAATAGAACATCCACACAGATTGGAGGCAGAATCACATTTAAAACACTTAAATGCACTTCACATTTAAAGCCACCTGGAAGCACTTCAGGCAGGGCATCAGAACAGCACTTGCTTCCTGGAGCTGCTGCTTGAGGCTTTCTGTGGCTCATGCTTAAAGGAACCTCCCTGTACAGCCATTTCTCAAGTGCTTCTCCTGCTTACCTACCTCTCTGTGGGTATGTCTACGCTACAAAGTTAATTCGAACTAACAGCCGTTAGTTCAAATTAACTTTAATAGGGGCTACACATACAAACCGCTAGTTCGAATTTAAATCAAACTAGCGGAGCGCTTAATTCGAACTAGGTAAACCTCATTCTACGAGGAGTAATGCCTAGTTCGAATTAAGTAGTTCGAATTAAGGGCTGTGTAGCTACTTAATTCCAACTAGTGGGAGGCCAGCCCTTCCCAGGTTGCCCTGGTGGCCACTCTGGGCCAAACCAGGGAAACTTTTCTGCCCCCCTCCCGGCCCCGGAGCCCTTAAAGGGGCATGGTCTGGCTACGGTGCTCGTGCCAGTTGCAAGCCTGCCAGCACCCACCCAGCAGACCCTGCACCTGGCATGGCATGAGCCAGCCACCTGCTGCCACCCAGCCCTCCGCCTCTTCCCAGGACCAGGCTGGGGGGCCTCAGGCGGC